TGAAACTAAGTTCATTATTATCATCTCAGTCCTGTGATTGAGCGAGGTCGCTGTGAATCTGAGCACTTTGACAAGTCTGTCCATATATCATGGTTGCGTACTATTGCCTGCATCTCAGTGTATGATTTTCCAGTTCATTGTCACGCTGTCAGACCACTTTTTCCATCTGTTTGCCTCTTCTTATTTTGCCTAAAACCTTGTACGATGGTAGGATGGTAGTAGAAATATGCTTGGTTCTTACAATGCGACCATACCATTTCAACTTTCTCTTTTTGACGGTGTTTAGGAGGTTTTCAAATGAGCCGGTTTCTCGCCTGAAACTTGTCTTTTTATCATGTTAGTTTTACTATTAGCTTGCGTTAAAAAATAATTCCCGCTTTATTCTACAGAAAATAAAGTACAGTTACATTCTATTCATTTATATATTCACCATTCTTGAATTAACATCATCTACCAAGTGTCCCAAGAAATAAGATTCAAACTTTTCAAAAACAGAAAATATGTGGAATTGAAATGAAAGCAGTGATGGATAGAGGCTCGGATTAGGGAATCGGAGAGCCGAGTTCGAATTCCAGTCGAATCCATTACATTCACTTACGTGCTATTACCCTTGTGAAAAGTATGAATCCTCGTCTTCTCCCTCCCCAACTATGGGTAAATAGGATGGCAACTGGTCTACCGCAGAAAGAAATGGCAACCTACTGCGTGAAAAAATCTGCCTAGTCAGTCATGCATATGGCACATAACTGACTATTTAGATGGTAATGTCGCATTGTCAATGTAAAATGTGACATCTTATGTTCGTTAGTTTCCAACCAAACCAAACCAAACTGCAGGAAATTAAGGAATGTCTTTTACCGTTAGCATAGTGGAACCCCTTGACATAGAAAAAATGATGGTCTTTTAAATCGTTGCAGAATGTACATGACTTCTTTGTTTTTTTTTTTTTTTTTTTAAATCATATCGCCCTATGCAACGCAGTAAAGCTACTAAGACACAGGCGGTTATTGAGTATGAAAGAATAATTAAAAAGTGGAGCGAGAACAATAGAAAAGTAATGAAGAGTAAAAGTAGATAGCGATTGAAATTGCATTGGAATTTTTGAAGATCAAATTTGGCTGGAAAGCATGGGACGGGAAGAGAGTTCCTTAAGAGAGAAGTGTGAGAAAAGAAACTGTTAGCATAGAACTTACATCTAACCAATTCAACTGTGAATTGATGAGACATTGACGCCAATCTATTAGTACGCTTAACTTCGTAAAATTTAGGTACCATAGCGAAGTGTTCATGCGAATAATTACCATGAAAGTATTTAGTCAAGAGAACCGCTACTTTGTGCAGTAAACTCCCACGTGGATGCTTCTTTGAACATTAGAATCTTAACCTCTTTAAGTCAAGGGTCAGTCGCTATATTTTCTTCTTATATACTCATAATAATCCTTTCCGTCTAACTCCTCTTATATTCATACCACACAACTCATTCAGTAACTCTCTACCATGAGTGGCTCTTGAGCCTTGTATTGGGTTAAATTTTCTACAAAATAACTGATCCACCACTTTATGTTCAGTAGAATCTTATATTAATACTATTGTCCTATTTAATATATAGTAAGGAAATTGAACATAGAATTGAGGAGTAGTTTCGTAGACCACCGCAAGTTGTGTTGTACTGGGATAAAGTGTCGTTGCCGACACTGGAGCTTGGACACAGATCACCAGTTAGCAAACACAGGTGATTCCATTTCTAATAAGTAGACCACCTGATTGTAAAGGAGAGGTATTTGGCGGCCACAATCTTAACAACATAAGATACGAAAATGATACAGTACTGATAGCAGACACAAAAAAGAAATTACAAAATCTCTTACATAAAGTAGCAACGGAGAGTGAGAAGAAGTGACTAAGCATAAACTACAAGAAGACAGAATGCTTGGTCATCAGTAAGAGGAAGAGCCCGGAATGCGATTTGCAGGTCGGAAACACTAGAATCAAGCAGACGTGGAAGTTGAAATATCTAGGACAGTAAATGCGACACTGAGATCCGTAGACGTATTGGGATGGCCAAGGACACATTCCAAAAGCTGGGTAGAGTATTGCGAGACAGGAGGATTTCTTTGGTAACAAAGAATACTGAGCTGTTATGTGACATCTGTCCTTCTTTAGGGCAGTGAATGTTGGACAATTTCCTCAAAGATGAAGAAGAGACTCGAGGCGACGTAGATGTGGTTCTACAGAGGAATGCTAAGGATATCGTGGACCGAACATATTGGGATGGCCAAGGACACATTCCAAAAGCTGGGCAGAATATTGCTAGACAGGAGGATTTCTTTGGTAACAAAGAAAAGAATACTAAGCTGTTACGTGACATCTGTCCTTCTTTACGGCAGCGAATGTTGAACGATTTCTTCAAAGATGAAGAAGAGACTCGAGGCGGCGGAGATGTGGTTCTACAGAAGGATGCTAAGGATATCATGGACCGAGCGTGTGAGCAACGAGAGGATGCAAATAAGGAGGCTTATACTTAACAACAGGAAGAGGCATCTGAAGTTCCTGGGACATAATGAGGAAGGAGGGCCTGGAGAATCTGATACTCACGGGTCGAATAGAGGGAAAGAGAGACAAGGGAAACCAGCGCGTGACATTCCTGGCGGGCTTGAGCAGGTGTATGACAGAACGTGGTATGGGGAGGAAGCTGAGGGAAGGAACTTGTTGATTGCTGCAAAGGAAAGAGAGAAGTGGAGAGCCATGATCACCTACGTCCTGAAATGATATGGCACATAAAAAGAGAAGAAAGAAGGAAATTGAACATAGAATTGGCTAGGAGTGGTTTCACAGAACACCGCAAATTATGTTGTACAGGGATAAAGTGTCGTTGCCGACACTAGAGTTTGAACACAGATCACCAGTGAGCAAACACAGGTGATACCATTTCTGACAAGTATACCGCGTGATCGTAAAGGAAAGGTATATATGAGAATTAGCGTGGTGTCTAAGTGATCACGATTCTCTATACTATCCTCTATATTATTTCTCTATACTGATCACTATTAGGATTACTATTTGGCAGTTACTATTCGAACAAGTATTACTAGTGCGAGCATTATTTGAACGGGTTACTGCTACTAATAACTTTCTATCTCTCTAACATTCCCACGCTTGGCTTAGCCTATCAAAATCGAGATCTCGATTTTGTCTACTATTTAACAAAGGTCATCCTCAGAAGATCTGTGCCTAAATACACTGCCACTAAAAATAATAGTTTAAAACTATTATGTAACATTCTTTACCTAACCATAAAAAAAATTCATTTATGAATTTTATTTCCTGCTTCGTAATACTTTGTTTAGTTTCTGAAAGACATCTTTTGCTATTCCAATGCAACTTCGGATTTCTGTGTCACATTTTTTCATTTGTAAAAACACTTCCCAAATTTCTGTAATTTTTTGTGTTGTATAGGGATAAAGTGCCGACGCTGGAGTTTGAACACAGATCACCAGTGAGCAAACATAGGTGATTCCATTTCTAATAAGTAGACCACGTGATCGTAAAGGAAAGGTATATATGGGAATTAGCGTGGCGTCTAAGTGATCACGATTCTCTATACTATCCTCTATACTATTTCTTTATACTGATCACTATTAGGATTACTATTTGGCAGTTACTATTCGAACAAGTATTACTAATGCAAGTATTATTCAAGGAGTTACTACTAGTATCTGCGATTCCAAAGTCTCGACTACAACGAGAATTACGAACGTGATAACGGGCATTCGTTGACATCACAAAAGTGACAACGACGAAGGCGTCTGACATCACTAAAATTTGCTACAAAACCAAAACGTTAACCTAAAAACTCGAGTCTTTTTTTAAGGCTCGATATATTCGGGCGAACTATAATCCTTAGTTCCACAAGTTCAGACCTTCACAGCTGGAACCCGCCTGACCATGTACACTTCTTTCTCATTTCCTTTATATTCCACTGGTGGAAATTTCCACTCACCTTTTCCCCTAGAACTGCAACTTTGTGAAACAAACTCCCACGTGAATGCTTCCCTGAACGCTAAAATCTTAACCTCTTCATGCAGCGGTCAATAGCTATCTTTCCTCCTTATCCTCATAATCTTCACTCCCTTCTACTTCCTCTTACATTCATATCACACAACTCATTTAGTAAGCCTCTACCACGGGTGGCTCTTGAGTCTTGTGTTGAGGTAGCTTTTCTATAAAATATAGTGACTTTACTTCTCACTGAGAGCGCCATAAAATAGCCTTGTGCCAAATTATTGATTTTTACTAGATGTGAATTTGAAAACAGGGGTTAATTCACAACTTGTTATATAATCAAGAGCTCCGGGCATCTACCAAATTTGTTTCTGTAAAAATACTATTGTAAAGAAAATCAATTTTTGTTTGACGACACGATTGAAATGCGAAGGTAAATTTGATAAACTGATCGTCCTGCTCTCTGCCAAAATCGATCATAATTTTTTTTTATTTTCTCTTAATTTTGAAGTTATTCAATTATTATTATAATTATTATTTTGTTTCTGAATTGTATGATTCCATTGTAACGTACATGTGGACATGCGCATAGGGTGCAGGCTAGCGGCACGGAATCGCCGTGCTGAGTTCAAATTCTGCTCGATTTTTAATAATTTCACCCCAAGCAAGGCGACATAGCCACTAAGACGCAAGGTGTTACTGAGTTTGAAGGAAACTGAGAAAAATGTAATGAGAGATGAAAATAAAAAGAACAGAATTCAGAAAGAGAACAGATACCAATTGACGTTGCATTTAAATTTTTGAAGTTTGTCGTTGGCGGAAAAGCAAGAAGCTGGAAGAAATTTCCACAGGCGAGAAGTACGAGAGAAAGAAAAATATTAAATAGGACTTATGGCTACAGCTATCAATTTCAACAGTAAAATGATGAAATCTGTCTGTCTATCTACTACTAGGCTGAAATTTGTGAAGTCATGGTAGCAAAGATGAAAGCTCACCAGAACAATTCGTTTGCTGAATTCACTTTCTAACAAATACCCTATCTATCTATCTATCTATCTATCTATCTATCTATCTATCTATCTATCTATCTATCTATCTCAGCCTGTTCATATCTATCTATCTATCATCTATCTATTATCTATCTATCTATCTATCTATCTATCTATCTATCTAGTCTGTTCATATCTATCTATCTATCTATCTATCTATCTATCTATCTATCTATCTATCTATCTATCTATCTATCTATCTCAGTCTGCTCATATCTATCTATCTATCTATCTATCTATCTATCTATCTCAGTCTCTATATATCAATCTAATTTTTTTGCAGTAATGTTCACCTTGTCAAGGCTCGAGGGCCACTCGAGGTAGAGGGTTACGATAAGTGGTAGTTTATATGGATATGAGGGGAAGCTAACTTTTAGCCTTAGACTTGAACAGGCTAAGATTGCAGTGATCGCGGAAACATCCTCTTAGGCGTCTGTTCACGGGAAGAAGCTGTTTGAGTGGAACTTACTTCTCGCCAATGGAATACGGAGGGAATATGGCTGGTTTGCTACTATGGAAGTGACATGGCGGCTCCTAGCCGTGAAGGTTACGCCTGGTGGAACTAAGAGATGTAGTTCGTCCGAACACTTTCAATGGTAGTAACGATAGAACAGTGAGAGACTCACATCCCGCCTGTGAGGGAGAAGTTGGAGTGTGGAAAGTAATTCTTCTCCAACAAGGATTCGGAGACACTTTTGAACTCTATCGAGACTGGAAAGTGAGGTCTGGGCAGCTCCTGCCTAAATATGGAAACAGTACTCCATTTTTGGCCTGATCTGGTTTTTGTAAAGGTAAAGGATAGCATGAGTCACGTACGTACTCGAACGCTACAGGTTGCCGATCATTTTAATTCCATTTTTAGCAATGGATCGTATACAGGAATTCCACTTGAGATCGGATGTGAGTTCGAGGCCCAATATCACTTCATCTTGACTGGCATTAAATCGGCGGTGATAGAATGTAACCAGTTTGGTTTTAGAGGCACTGAATGTAAAAAGCCAGTTTTTTTTCCCACTGGGAAGTCAGTGCTAAATCGGAAGAGAGATCAGCTGCCAATCTCTGATCGTCAAGACTTTTAGAGATGCGCCGTATATCGTCGTATCATCGGCATAGACGTTTACAAATGATAGGAGTATATTCTTAGGTAGATCATTTATGTAAATCAGAAAGAGGGTTGGTCCGAGAAGGGACGCTCACTTTGACTGCAAGGGCCTCGAAAGTTTGGCCATTAATAACTACCTTCAGTGATCCATCTGCTATAAGGATTTTATAATAGAGAAATCCCTTCCAGTGATTTCATAGCTGGGGAGCTTGTGTAGTAAACTGTGCCACACCTTGTCGAAGGTCTTCGAGATATGTTATGGTCTTTGCAGTATGTGTGGCGTCATGGGCCTCATTAATACCGTTTATAATAGTAATTAGGATGTCAGCAGTGGATCGGGCTGGTCGAAACCAATACTGCTCGTCGCGCAAGAGGTTGTTCCTATCCAGGTGTTCGACAACCTTCTTGTTGATTAAGGCCTCAGAAAGCTTACTGATGATACTGCTGTTCATATCTATCTATCTATCTATCTATCTATCTATCTATCTATCTAATTTATTCATATCTAAATTTATTCATATCTATCTATCTATCATCTATCTATCTATCTATCTATCTAATTTATTCATATCTAAATCTGTTCATATCTATCTATCTATCTATCTATCTATCTATCTATCTATCTATCTATCTATCTATCTATCTAATTTATTCATGTCTAAGTCTGTTCATATCTATCTATCTATCTATCTATCTATCTATCTATCTAATTTATTCATATCTAAGTCTGTTCATATATATCTATCTATCTTAGTCTGTTCATATCTATCTATTCTTACTCCAGTTATGTACATAAAACTGTTTTCCTTGGTACTGGTTGGCAAATAGTATAGGAGAAAAACACTTTGAAGTTAAAACCATTTTAACATCACGTAAAAAACCTCTTTGCTACAAAAATTACAACAGCGAAATCTTTCATTCTGGTAGGTTGTGGCACTATACGTTGAGTAAGATATCAATCTATCCCCCACCCCGTCAGCTGTGGGTTAAATAGCAAGATAGACTAAGTTTTCTAGCATTGGTTGAGAATCAGTCTTTAAAAAAACAACTATAAATTAAAACAGGTTGTTCGTTGAGCTGGCAACGCCACGCCGTAAAAACCTACTTACTACAAAAACAACAGCAACGCCATCAAGCGTGGCTAGATTGTGGTCCTGTACTCCCCAGGGTGGGAGTCTAATGGCATTAACGAGGGTCTAAAGGAGGAAAATGAAGCGCTTCCTTCTTTCGGGATATTTTTATTTGAAAGAACAAATGGCAGCAAACAATTTGAAAGAAGTTAGCATAATCTTTAAGTCACATTCGTTGCTTATCGCATCTGTATAGTTCCATATAAGATGGATCCGAATGACAACTGCTTTATCTGTTCCATACTATAACAAGCACAATCTGTTCCATAATATAGCCGCCACCATCGAACTGTGATAGTATTGTATCAATTTAAATGCCACTCTAGAATTTTTTTATGACTCTCTTACTAAGAATATATTGGTTTTAAGAAACTAGAGTTTCCGAATACGTGTTGTCTCACTTTTTCACCTTTATGTTATTATACATGTTAACCCACATTCACCTGGTGTCAGTTTAAGTAGAAAATTTCGCTGATAATTTACAAGTTTTCTCAAATCAAGAAAATACAAACTTTAAACAAAATGCTGTCAATATATATATATCGGGCTTTTGCTAACAATATGATTTCCACCAGAAAATACACCATCTACAAAAACATATGTCGTTGAGTAATTCCCATTTCTCTGTTTATTTCTCGGCCCGTTGATGAAGGACACAGGCGTGTCCGAAAATTCTGAACTTAAAACCTTTCTTTCCGTGCTTCATTTCTGTCATAAGGTTAATAATTAATATTTAATAAATGTTTATTTTACTGATTATATTAGTACCCTTTCGTTTGTTCTCGTTTTATTAACTAACCCAATATATATATATATATATATATATATATATATATATATATATATATATATATATATATATATACACAGTAGTTTAGACTGATACCAGGAGAATATGGGTTAAAATGCATGAAACAATTATTGGTCTTGCATACAAATAACAATGAAGTGAACCTCTTTTTTTATACATTAAAAATGTATGTAAAAAGAAAAGAAAATATAATAATTCTAATAAACTCATAAATCCCGAAGAATCCTCATCTTTAGAGTGTTATTCGTGTTCATTTTGTTTTGTGATTATTTTGTTTGGTCTTCGTTATCATTAGAACATAGTTTTCTTAGAAAATAATCGGCCGAAACGAAAAGACGTGATGCGATAAGTGTAGTCATTTTTTTTAAAGGTTACAATCTTAATTGCACAAGGAAAATGGAGCTTATTCATAAACAAAGTCTGTTTCAGTGTGAAACCAAAATGGTATATGCAAATGAAACGAAGAAAAGGAAGCAGTTATTTCCCTTGTCAAAATAGATAAAAGTTTTTAAAAAATCAAGCAAAACAAGATGGTTTCCATTATTGTCTGTTTCTGTCTACTTATGAGATTATATTTTCAAGATTATTCCGAGAGACAAAGTCATTTATTAATTTTCTTTTTGGAAGAAGACCATAATAAAAGATCACAAAACAAAATTTAATTCACAATTAAAAAAGAAAAACGCTTACACAATTGTAAGTAATTGTGCTGAAAAAATGTATTTCGAGGAATTTGCAAATGTAATACAGCAATTGAAACGAAAGAGAATGCCACAGGTTTGGTAAAGCAGAAAACAAATAGAAAAAAAAAAAAAACCAAAACTTTTCCACATGGAAGAATTTTAGGAGAGAGAGGCAAAAATATTCCCTCTATCCATTTAAAAGAAAAGAAAACTTCCTGAAATGGCATTGCTATTCAATAATTTTAGGCCACAAGTACAGGGCATCCAGTGAGGATAAAACTCACAACTCAATAATAATAGTCAACCAGACTAGCTCGTTAGCCATTACCAAACTCTAAGCGCCCGTTCTTGAAATGGTGTTGGTCGTTAGTATATATATATATATATATATATATATATATATATATATATATATATATATGTATGTATGTATATATATATATGGTATCTTGAGATATCATACGTGAGATCAAGGTGGCAGCCATCTTGTATGAATGTATGTTTTTTGTATATATGTGAACTGTTATATATATATGGGTTACATATGGGAATGTACTGTAAATTCTGACTAATGTCCTAATCCGCAGATTGTAGCATAATATCTTTAAAACATTACCGTTTTGAAGACATATAAGAATTAGATTCATTTTTGTGGAGGGATATAAAATATTCGATGACTCAGTTCAGTTTGATTTTTAGTCTTGTCGCCTGTGTACATATCGATTGTTGTCGCTTTTAAATACATCAATCAGACGTGATCGATGAACGAAACATTATTGATGGCGAATCAACATTCTGAATTTTGTTTTTCTTCGGCAGTGCAGTTGTTTTAAAATGCTGTATAGTTTTTTTCAAAGCAAATACCAGAAAAAGATGATGAGTGGGGAGTTAAAATCCGATAGGGTGGTACGTAATATATATATATATATATATATATATATATATATATATATATATATATATACAGAATAAAATTTTATTTGAATAAAGATTTTATTATATAAAAAAATCTTGGATATTCTTTGAAGAAAGAGAGCAAAATGGAAAAAATAGTAAATTCCGTATAGTTGTAGTGAGTAAATGTGTACAAGAAAGGAAACCCCACAAACAATGTAAAATAGTCAAAGAAAAAAATTTACGCAAACTGATTAATTTATTTGTAAATTCATTTTTATTGAGTGTTTCCAATGCTGCAACTCGGCTTGGGGAAGACATTTTGTCAAGAATAAAAACTACTGTAAAATAGTTTATTTCATCTTTTGAAAAAAAAAAAGAAATACGAAAAATTTCCCCCCCAAGTACCCCGAAAAAAATTGAAAAAATATAAAATAAATAAAAACAAAAGAACTGATAAACTAAAAAAATAAAGTAATAAAAATAAAAAAAAAGTTTAAAGGAAGTAAAAATTGCAAGAAAGATGATCACGTTTTTAAGCAATTTAAGAGGAAAAAAAGTAATTTACCAATAAAAAATATTTTTATGTCATTTTTTTCTTTATATTTTTGAGGGGATTATTATTATTATTATTATAATTATAATAAAAATTATTATTACTATTATTATTTGTTAACATTTCCTTAATTTTATTTTTGAATCTAGAGTAGATTGATTAAATTAGATACGAAGGAAACCTGCCGGTAGATACAATCACGTATTTGTTTTACAAATTTTGGAATCGCTTTTTGCCAGAGTTTGAATTAAATCTCGTTTGTTTAAACCACTCTTTTTTTTTTTTTTTTTATCAATTCCGTGTGAATAAAAATCTTCATCGATCGAACAATCGATCCATTGTCGTTGTTGTTATTATTGTCTCTTTCTTTTCCTTTCTGCCATAATAAAAAAAAAGATGTAAAAAAGAGATAGAGAGATAGATAGTAAGAGTGAGAGAGAGAGAGAGAGAGAGAGAGAAGGGGAAAGAAAAGCAAGACAATTGACCAATCAACTGACGAAATATGAAATGACATGCGGAATAAACTGATAAATAAAGAGAGAGGTTACAGGTAACAATGGAGGAATGAAACAAACGTACGACAAATCTGTCTTTCATTTCAAACATATTTCACTCAATGTCATTTCAGATGAGAAAGCCGCCAGATGGCGCTGTCATGATTCTGAAGAGACGCTAACTTGACCAACACCACCCAACTTACAAAAATTAGATAAAAATAAATAAATATACGCACAAGGATACACAATCGCATATATTCACACACGTACACACACACATACACACACACGCACGCATGTTTTCCCATTAGATCATGCAAATATGTATATGCGCATATATATGTATATACTAAATTATAAGAGTCGAATATATATATATATATATATATATATATATATATATATATATATATATATATATATATATATATATAGTTTAGAGTCTTTATTTTATTGTTTGTTGTTAACTTGTAGAAAACACAATTACTTAAGTAACTGAGTCGATTAGATTTACTAAAATATATTTTAAGAATACTTAATTTAATTTTCAAAAGAAATTATTATGTCCGGAAATATTCTGAATATTATTTTCACTTATGTGTGTGCAAAAGATACCAGAGTTTATTTTTTTTATAAAAAAAAATGAAATATTTTCTTTAGTGTTTTTTTTGTTTTTTTTTTGTTTTTGTTATTTTTTAAGATGGTTCTCGGAACTTTTGGACACACACGAAAGAAAAGTTTTTAATATACGGCTTCTCTTCGAAAGCTGAACTTAGTAGCTTCATTATATTTTTTTGTTACGATTTTTATTGTGTCCCTTATTTTAATAATGAGGTCAAAACTCTTTTCTTCTTCTTCTTCTTCTTCTTCTTCTTCTTCTTCTTCTTCTTCTTCTTCTTCTTCACTCGAACGCCTCTTCTGACGATTTGGGCAGGTCCCAACGAACTATATTTTTTATCAAAATAATTCTTTCTTGCGGCATCTACAAAATAAGTCTACAGTGTCCTTAAGCTGGTTGTTCAAGCCTGGTAGGCCTGGTTGTCAACCCCCTGAGGTGGGGCTGCTTGTGGAGGTGCTCCTTGGGGTGGTGGGTAGCCTTGTGGAGGGTATCCTTGTGGTGGTGGTGGTGGGTATCCTTGTGGTGGTGGTGGATAACCTTGTGGTGGGTATCCCTGTGGTGGTGGGTATCCTTGTGGTGGGTAAGCGGCTTGTTGTTGTTGCATCTTCTGCATCATGGCCATCATTTCCTTCATTTGGGCAGCATCAACGCTCTCACCACCGCCACCGCCACTCTGCTCAGTAGCAGGAATCTCAGCCTCTGCATCTTTTTCATCTTCAACTTCCTTCTCGTCGAATCGGCAGCATGCAATGATCCACGGGAAGTTTTCTGCGATAGCCTCTCTGAATTTAGGATGAGAGACAGAGTAGATGAGTGGATTGTGAATAGCAGAAGCCTTGGCGAACATTACAGGCAGCTGTGCGGCATAAGGTGTTACCCACTCGATTGGGCCGAACTGGGCGAGTAGAGCTACTACAGCATAAGGACTCCAGGAGAGCAAAAACTGAGAGACAATGACGATTGAAATCTTGGCTAGTCTCATTTCAGCGTTAGCACCTGCCTGAGCTTTTCGCAGTTCCTTGGCGTTCAATCTCTTGGCCATAGCTGCCATCTCTTTCTCGTGGTTGGACACAGACATGACGATGTTGAAATAGCAGAAGAAAATCATCAAAATGGGGAAACAGAAAGCAAAGATGTACATGCAGACAATGTTGGATCGTGTAGTGTAATCTCTAGTAATATAATCAAAGGAGCAATTGCAGAGGACGCCTTCCAGTACGTATGCACCCCAGCCAAAAATGGGTCCGATAGACCATAGTGTTGACCACATCCAGACGAAGATGATCATAAGGAAAGCCCTTCGATGACTCATTTTCTTTGACGCAGCCATTGGTCTTCCTATTACGTTGTAACGATCAATAGAGATCATTGCCATGGTCATGATAGACATCAAACCAAAAATACCGCCGATGAAGCCGTATACTTTACAGGCTAAAAGTGGAAAGAGAAAAAGAAGAAATATATTTTATGAGTGCTTTCGGATGCATACATATATAGAGAAATACATAAGCCACAGCATCAAATAAATACAATTTGAATTATCGCTAGCTGTACACTACACTACCGTTCTTGTAAAATATTGAAAAACACTTTTGTAATCTCGAAATTCTAACAATTTATTTTAACAGTACAGACAAACTTCTCATTTACGGACCCCTCCATCAACGGACTTCGGATGTAACGGACAAAATCTGCAGGCAAAATAAAAAACGTCATGCAGGCAAAAAAACTTCCAAATCGTCAGCGATGTATTTCAAAATTTGCGGGCTTAGGGGAACGAGTCGTATTATTTCTCAAAGTGACCGCTTGGCGGCGGTGGTTGGCCTTTCAATTGTAAACAAAAACGGGTGTACAGTATATAAATTACGATACATTAGCGCGGGCGTGAGAAAGTATTATTTTTGTTATTTTTATTAATATATCTATATTAAGTATATATTTATTTATGCCATATATACATGTTTATATTATTTACATTATGATCATAACTACTGGTAGTTACTATAGTGGTTTTATAACTCAAAAATAATCCCTTCCCATCTACGGACAATCGACTTTAACGGACCACCCATTCCCACTATTTGTCCGTTGATGAGAGGTTTGTCTGTATTTCAATAACAATATTTAGGCAATGTCAACGTTTTCGCTAAATAACTCTCTAAAGCATGTGACATAATTTATTTTTTTAATCATTTAACGCCCAAGATAGATAAGAAAGTCACTAAGACGCAAGGGGGTTACTGAGAGGGAAAGAAACAGAGAGGACAATAAAAGATGAGGATTCAGGAAGATAGAAGATGACGCTCGCATTTTGAAGATCGTAATTGACAGGAAAGCAGGAAGTCGGAAGTTCAAAAGGCGCGAAAGGCGGGAGAAGAATTTGTTAGCAAAGAACTAAAGGTTACAAATAACAATTACAACAGTGAAATTATGAAACCTAAGTGCCCATTTAGTACTGCACTCAATTTCGTAAAGTCGAGAGGTACTAAGGACGAAAGTTCATCAGAACAATTACCATGAAAATATATATATAGAAGGTACAGGGAACCATCTTTACGGCGGAGGGAAAGAGACTGGAATTGAAATGCCAGACCAGGACCGAGAACATTGCAGATTCTTCTTTGGATTTACGCCCATAAAATAAATTCAGATTTATGAACAGTTTTTCTTTCGAATCAGCTTTGACTTTTGAAACTCGATTTTATACTTATTTACACTATTCATGTTCGGACTATTATCCTCATCTTTGTTGCTGTTATCACAACGTTTCGGCCTTTGTGACCTCAGCCATTCCTCAGACGTATATCGATCTGAATAACCTACAGAGTATTCCAAACTGATATACAAAGATGAGGTCAAAAGACCGAATATAATTAGTGTAAGTAATAACTCATCCTATAAATTCAAACAAAAATTATCGATTTTTTACTTTTAATTAAATCCTTCACATGATGACGATTTTCTAAGCGTAACTTAGATGTGGCTTAAGGCCGAAAGTATGGGAGACCCAGTGAGGATCGAACATACTACTCAGTCGTAATTGAGCTAGCGAGACAGGCTGGCTAATCACTATATCACGTCAAAGTGCGATTTCTAAGCGTAAATGAAACTTCCTACAAGCAAAATAAGAGTCAGGGTAGAAATCACTTTTTTCTCTTTTTCTCTCTCACCAGTAGGCAGCAGGTGTATGTATCTGAAAGGTTTGCAGGATGGTCCTGAGATAAAAAAGATTAGCTTACTCCCCGAAGACATCGAAGGGAATGAAACCACCGTAACAGAAATGTTAGTTTGTCCTCTGAAATTTTATGTCGCATATATATATATATATATATATATATATATATATGATAGCTGGCCACTCGAATGAGGAAATACTATCATGCTCTAATTTCCCCCAAAACCTTTTTTTATAATTCTACTTATTTGCATGTTGCAGTGTAACCCGGATATAAGAGACCCGGATATAAGAGAAACCCGGATATAAGAGAGATTTTCTCTGGTCCCAAATTAGAGCCTGTGTTTATGTATATAAAATAGATCAAACCCGTATATAAGAGACAACTGTCTTATATCCGGGTTACACTGTATATCAGATGTACATTTTGATGTGTCTTTTGATGTGTTTATTTTAACTTCGATCATAGGGCGTCATGTTGATACCAAAGGGTAATCTTTCGAATTAGTGGGAAAGAAATGCAAGGCAGATAATTGATCACAACATTCAAAGATCTATAATTACTATTTTGTTATTATTAACTTACCTGCATTTCCAAAGACCCATTTTTTTATGAAGCAAGAAATTGTCATGAGGGGGAAACCGTTCACCAGGGAGAAAGTAAAGTCGGAGAAAGCCAGGTTAATAATAAACATGTTGGCTGGAGTCTGGAGGGATTTCGTTCTAAAAAGAAAAATAAGAATATTTTTTAGCGAGAAACAAAATGTACTCCTAAAATGCAAACAAATAACATAATTCAATAATAAATTTGTGAGTGAAATTGGGTAGACGAGAATGTTTGGAAGCCGTCAGTCACGATGACTTATGAACTAGGATGACTAGGTCACAAGTCATTCGTGACCGAGAGTGTGAGCGTATTGGTCTTGGTTTGGTTTGGTTTGTTTGGTTTAACTGCATATCAACATCTCAATGGGTTATTTAATACCGACAAGATTTTTATTGCTGAAAATATTTTTTTCTAAAAAAATGTATTGCTGGTAATATTTTTTTTTCTTCACAAATATATTGCTGGCAATATTTTTTTTCTTCAAAAATGTATTCCTGGTAATATAATGATGCCGACTTCGCCATGATTCCAGAATGCGGATGCTAAATTGGTAGAAAATATTCTGATTTAATTGGTTTGGTTTGCTTTACAGCATATTAACCTCAATGGGTTATTTAATGCCGACAAGATTTTTATTGCTGGTAATTTTTTAAAAATGTATAGCTGATAATTTTTTTTTCAAAAATGTATTGCTGGAAATAACTCTTCAAAAAATTATTGCTGGTAATAATTTTTTTACAAAGTATTTCTGTTATTAAAGCTTATTTTTACACTTTCATATTGATTTGACCCCAGTTTGGAAGTTAACTATTTACCTATAATTGGGACCTTAACAGGTGCTACCGCCCGGGTCAGGGTGGACCTTGGAACAACAGCAATTAAGAGGTGGTTCTACGCTCCTCAAAAACCTCCTGATCAGAGGCCTTGCTGCTGGACGTAGTTTATCGTCTTACCCAGGACGCGAATGTAGTTTATCGCAGTACCCAGGATGGGTATGGGTCTTGTTCTAATTGCCGGATAATACAATCTGTCATAGAAATTATAAATAAGGTCTGCTCAGCATGGTTTTTCTATAAACAACATGTGGGCATTGTGGGTGTTAAACAGAAACAAATCTGTCTGAGCAGGCGTCTGCAACTGGGATTGGCTAACTGCTCTAGCAGACGGTTGTGTACGGAAATGAGTAGCTAAATATTAAATAGGTAAAAAATATTACAAAATCTAGACAGATCCTCTGCCTGATGACATACAGACACCACTTACAGCGGCGATAATTGCTACGATACCCACAAATGTACATAAGATGTACGCTAGTTAAAAAAATAAAAGGTTTTCCATCATTTGGAAAATAAATACTAACATGATCAAAATACTGTAGGAAGTTTGAAAGCCTGCATGAATTGTTGATAAGTGCTATCAATCAAAAAGTCTCCTGTCGGCTGAAAGTTGTTTAACCAAATTTAGGGTCCTTAAAAACCTGGGGTATCACTGAGATAAAATGACACGAAAGGAAAATAAGGAGAAGAGAAAAATGTATTTTCTCTTTATGACAGCCACATAAGCCCGAATTTGGGATCGCTAAAAATATCAGCATATCGGGTTATGCACAACAGACTCTCGGATAGCTATGCCAATTCACAATCATCGATACAGTGTACACTAACGTAGGAATCGTTGATTGTGTGTACTCCAACTAAAGGTAAACATATCGTGTAACTTTTTTTACAGTAAGTTTCACCCTGTACAAAGCCCGGGGGCCACTCGAGTAGAGGGTTAGGTTAGGAGGCAGTTTGAACGGATAGGAGGGGAAGATAACTGTTAACCCTAGCCTTGAACAGGTTAAGATTGTAATGGTCGCGGAAGCATCCTCTTGGGAGTTGGTTCCACAAAGTAAGAAGAAAGAGGTACAGTTTATGGGAGTATGTGGGGAAGATAACGTTTAACTCTAGACTTGAACAGGTTAAGATAGCAGTGATCTTGGAAAGCGGAGAGAATGTGGGTGGCTTGCTGCTATGTAAGTGGCATGGCGTCTCCTTGTCGTGAAGGTTTGAACTGGCGGGACCAGGGAATATAGTTCGTTCGAGCACTTTCCGTCGAAGTAGAGATAGAGTAGCTAGAGGCTTGCCACATCCTCCCTATGAGAGTGAGGTTGGAGGGTGGATAATAATTCGTCACCCACAAGTGCACGAAGACACTTTTGGATTGTGTCAAGGCTGGAGAATAAGGTCTGGGCAGCTCCCGCCCAAACATGGCAACTACTCCATTTTTGGATTGACCTGGCTCTTGTAAAGGTAGAGCATAACATCAGGAGTCAGCCGACTATTTCACCTGCTTTCTTCGGCATGGATCGTATGTATGAGTTCCACTAATTTCTTATGCTTGTAAAAGATTTATCTCAACTGTACAAATCTCATTAATGATAATAAGTATAATAAATTTCATTTACATTACTTACACTCGGACTATTATCCTTATCTTTTTTGTTGTTGTTATCACCGTCATTTTTCTTGTTGTCATCATATGATGACAATAGTTCGAATGTAAATAGTATAAATAATGATTAATAATCTGATATATATATATATATATATATATATATATATATATATATATATATATATATAAAAAATATAGTCTTAAGGTATGCTATATTTATGGAATAAAGTGCTCAATATCAGAGATAGAGTTTGTAAATATAAAAGTGAACATAAAGTCAACACTTAGGGCGACAGTCTGTTTCATGCTATATGCAATCGTGGCCTGACGATTGCATATAGCATGAAACAGACTGTCGCCTCTAAGTGTTGACTTCTATGTTCACTTTTATATATATATATATATATATATGTATTGCCGCGGTGAAGTTTGTGTTCTTACTGGGACGACGCCCACTTTAAACAGGGCCGAATGTGCCATCTTTCATGCAAAAAAGATTGCCTTCACCTGCTTTAGGTGTTAGTCTTGTGAAAGATTTCTTAAAAGTTATACTTACTTAGTGAAAAGATAAATGACAATACCATTGCCACCACATCCTACAATACCACAGATACCAATGAAAATACCAAGGGCGTAGTAAACAGCGTCTGGTACTTGATCAAATTGTTTCCAATGAGGGTGGACCTCCATGGTGGGATTGTACCACCATGTCTCATTATCTGGGATGTCTCTACCCATGGTGGCTTTTTAAGATTATCTTTTGCACGTTGTTGTATGAGTGTTCTGGTGCCAACCTACTGGGAACTGAAAAAAAATGAAAAGAAAAAAAAATCTGTTAATAACCAGTTTATGTTTGGGTTAATGATTATAAGTTGGGTGGGAAACCGACACTATGATAAAATATAGAAGACAATTTGGAAATCTGTTAGCAGTTTACTTTTGGTTATCTAAACTCTGGTACTTATTAAATTAGGACTGTAACAATGTGGGGTACGTAAACCTTAAAAAATAATAATAATGTAATAACAGATAAAAAATAAAAAAACAAACTGAAAGGGTAAAAGTCTAATTTCTAATATATACTGTAGGCCATAAGTTTCGGGATACCTTCTATATTTCAAAGACTCGCCTAAAAATTGAATGTTGCGTGTTTTTTCAAGAACTAATATACAAGCAGATTTCGGGCCAGAGAGACTTTCTTTTCCTGAAGGGGTTTAACATAAATTCAATAATAATAATTGCAATATTCCGAACACTTGCCTGTCTCCTCTCGAGAACAGGCTTTTCCTAGTAATCGTCCTTTTAACTTATTATTAATCACTTTCCTTTGTTGTTGCCGTTCAAAATAAAATGTAGCCATCTTGTTAGTTCTAAAGGTCTCACGTCTTGTTATCACTTCAATAACAATAATAATAATGAGGAAATTAACTCATAAAGTTTATTTTATTATAATCTACTTTGCTGGCTTATGATTATCTTAGGGGTGGAAGATTTAAAATTTTAGGTAACGTCCACTCTAAAAATTGAGCTAATGGTTAAAATCATCCACGCTTAATCGGAGTTATTTAAACCAAAAAATGCATGGAACTTACTAATTATTAAATCAAGAGGGTAGCGTCAAACTTATGGCCTATAGTGTAGTTAAAGTAAAAATCAAGTGGGCAGTTGAATTAGGCACAACGAGGAAAAAGAGCTTAGAGAACTTGACACTCACAGGAGATATTGAAGACAAGAGGGCCTCTGGAAAACAATGCATGATTTACCTAACGAGCTTGTGTAAATGGTGGACAGAAAAGGGATTTGGGGAAATTTTATTAAGAGCTTCAAAGGACAAGAAATTGCGGAGAGCCATGATTGCCCACGTTCTGAAGGGACGCAACACAAAAAGAAGAAGAAGAAGAAGAAGAAGAAGAAGAAGAAGAAGAAGAAGAAGAAGAAGAAGAAGAATGTAAATTTTGTTTTTGTGAAATAAAATTGTTTTTCTGATCATGCCGGATCATCGGAAAAAAAAAAGTAAATATATATTTTTTATATCTAGATTGTCTTATATAATATATATTTTCTTACACACACACACACACACACACACATATATATATATATTGTTATGGTCCAGGTAGGACCAACGAAGTACAACACGAACACAAGAGTAGAAATAACGAAGGTATATTACACGAAATAATAATACAAGATGTGGACGGTGTTAGTATGACTGTCAGTCTGGTTTGGAGTGAACAACTATCGGCTCGACTCGATTCGTCCCTCTGTTTTGAGAGGCGTAGTGTACATAGTGTTAGGGAGAATTCATTCTGTAGTTATAGGTAAAGACCCATATATATATATATATATATATATATATATATATATACATATACAATCTTAACAAAAAAGGTATGCAGATGACACAGTGTTGATAGCAGACAGAGAAAGAAAGTTACAAAAACTCCTATAGAAGTTAGTGGAGGAAAGCGAGAAGAAAGGATTAAACATTAGCTGCAAGAAGATAGATAGTTATTAGCAAAAGGATGAGTCCAGAGTGAGAATTTCAAATCAGAGATACCAAAATCAAACCAGTGCAGAAATTTAAATATCTGGTAAGTGTTTTAACAGAGGACGGAAAGAACGACACTGGGACCCGAAGGTGTATTGGGTCAGCCAAATATGCATTCCAAAACCAAAGCAGAGTGCTATGAAATAGGAAAATTTCGCTAGAAACAAGGAAAAGAGTACTAAACTATGACGTGATATCTGTCCTCCTGTATGACAGTGAGAAGGCTGGCCTTTTAAAAAAATTGATCACGCCAGATTGCGTGCACACGTTTCCAGAAACTGCAACTAAGGTCTGCTCAGCATAGTTGCATTATAAACCCCAGTTGAGCGGACGTCTGTAATATGGATTTACTCGCCGCTCAGGTAGACATATATGCCCGGAAACGACTAACCAGTCATTATAGTGATTTTCCAAGCATAGCTTAGATGTAGCACAAGGCTGAAAGTATGGGGCACTCAGTGAGGATCGAAATCACTTCTCAGTCATAATTGTTCTAGCGAGACAAGCTTGCTAACTATTACACCACATCGAGGTGCCCCTAGCCAGTCATTATACATAGTGAGATACTATGCAAGTATGATGATTTGACATCGGAATAAAAATGAAAGAAACTTTTCCTGATCAAAATAAAGCATGCGTAGCGAAAGAATATAGTTAATACCTTTAATTGAAAATATAATTTTTGATTTAATATTGATTAGCTGTTACTTTATTATTCGGTCGAGTTAGTTCCGACATTCATGAGTCTATCACACCAACCTCACAGTCCTGCATCAAGGTTAGAATGTCATTAGGGTGGCATTTTCGTCCAGAACAGTAAATCACTCGCGAGTTCTTGTTTTGCTCACCACAGTGTCCTGCAAGTCGCATTCTGCGTTCGCGTAAGATTGTAGAAATATCAGGGATGGGTGCATAGTGCTGTGATTTAGTTTGATGCTGTTGCTAAGAGACGTTAAGTATGGCTCTCAGCATCCGAATGTAGGTTCCATTAAACTTTGATACAAGGGTTTTTAGTTAATGTTCAGGCAGTGGCTCCATAAATTAACACCGCCTCTACAGTGGCTCGAAAGAATTTCCGTTTGAGATTGTCTGGTAGATCAGATTTCCAGATTATATCCATTTTATTTAAGGTGCTCCAGACTTTAGCTATACGAATTTTCACAACCATTTTTTTCAGTAGAAATTATCTCGCTTCCTAGGTATGTGAAAGATTCAACAAATTTTATTGAGTCACCTGAGACAATTTGTATTGAGCCTTGCTGGTTGAAGCCTATTGACTCTTAAATGGCGGGAAAACGTTTCCCGACGTGAACAGCCAATGGTTAAAAATGAGAAAATACATGTTTTAGAGGATAATTTTTTTGCTTATTTTTGCTTTAATTATATGCAAAAATCTCTAAAATTGGTGCTTTACCTACTTTAGATTTATTTATTTATTTATTATAATTTATCGATCTTTTTCACATTATTTTAAACCAGAAAAATATTCCTTTCGTAAAGTAAGAATTTTTTGGATTTATTGATACAAGGCCTACTAATTAACCCATAGTAAGGGGAGAAGAGGTGGATTCATACCTTTACCCGTTATGCTACTCGCAAATTTAAACTTACAGCAACTGATCTACCCAAGTGGTCACCCATCTAGTTATTGACCAAGCTCGACATTGCTTAATTTCGGTGATTGTACGAAAACCGGTGGTTTCAACGTGATTCATAAGAATAAAGAAAATAGAAAAATAAAATAAAAGTTAGGTTCCTGAATTGTATATTTTAACATTATGAAATTCCTTTAAGACTTTCATCTATAATCAAATTTTGCATTCTTTGCACCAAATTGTCGCTATTTTTAGCGCTTTTCTCTTCGAGAAGTGAGCATGCAGATATAACACAGGTTTTTGAACTGTTCTTTCAGCCATTTTTTTTAACAGGCAAATAATTCACCCAATGATTTAACCTCATGAATACCAGTAAAAGATATCGGAGAGCTGAGCTCGAATTCCGTTCGGTTTCATTGCATTCACTTACGTGCAAATACAGAGTAAAATTATAAACTAAAATAGTACAACTCTGTCCCATACTAATTGTTACATTTGCATACACATTTTTCACACTAAATGTATAAACTATTATGGGACAGAGGTAATATATTACTATTTATATAATACTATTTCTGTCCCATTAATAATTGGTACATTTACATACACATTTCACACACTAAATGGATCAATTCCTTTGGGACAGAAGCACTTTATTATTATTTATATAATACTGCCCCTCTCCCATAATGGCTGTTACCTTTACATACACATTTCATACTCTAAATGTACCAACAATTATGGGACACAAGCACTAAATTATTATTTATATAATACTGCCTCTGTCCCATAATAAAAAGGACAATTTTCATATACATTTCATACTCTAAATGTACCAACAATTATGGGACACAAGCACTATATTATTATTTATATACTGCCTCTGTCCCATAAATAGGACCATATACATTTCATACTCTAAATGTACCAACAATTATGGGACACAAGCACTATATTATTATTTATATAATACTGCCTCTGTCCCAAATAAATAGGACAATTTTCATATACATTTCATACTCTAAATGTACCAACAATTATGGGACACAAGCACTATATTATTATTTATATAATACTGCCTCTGTCCCATAATAAAAGGACAATTTTCATATACATTTCATACTCTAAATGTACCAACAATTATGGGACACAAGCACTATATTATTATTTATATAATACTGCCTCTGTCCCATAATAAAAGGACAATTTTCATATACATTTCATACTCTAAATGTACCAACAATTATGGGACACAAGCACTATATTATTATTTATATAATGCCTCTGTCCCATAATAAAAGGACAATTTTCATATACATTTCATACTCTAAATAATAAAATTATGGGACACAAGCACTATATTATTATTTATATAATACTTTGTCCCATAATAAATAGGACAATTTTCATATACATTTCATACTCTAAATGTATTCAACAATTATGGGACACAAGCACTATATTATTATTTATATAATACTGCCTCTGTCCCATAATAAAAGGACAATTTTCATATACATTTCATACTCTAAATGTATTAACAATTATGGGACACAAGCACTATATTATTATTTATATAATAATGCCTCTGTCCCATAATAAAAATAGAACAATTTTCATATACATTTTATACTCTAAATGTACCAACAATTATGGGACACAAGCACTATATTATTATTTATATAATACTGCCTCTGTCCCATAATAAAAAGGACAATTTTCATATACATTTCATACTCTAAATGTACCAACAATTATGGGACACAAGCACTATATTATTATTTATATAATACTGCCTCTGTCCCATAATAAATAGGACAATTTTCATATACATTTCATACTCTAAATGTACCAACAATTATGGGACACAAGCACTATATTATTATTTATATAATACTGCCTCTGTCCCATAATAAATAGGACAATTTTCATATACATTTCATACTCTAAATGTACCAACAATTATGGGACACAAGCACTATATTTTTATTTATATAATACTGCCTCTGTCCCATAATAAATAGGACAATTTTCATATACATTTCATACACTAAATATAACAATGTTTTTGACCATTGTTACTAAATTACTTTTTAAAATCTTAACATGAAGAATTGTCACCTATAAATTCTATTTTTGCGGAATGTAATGCTACTACTACTAATAATTATTGCCTTGAGGCCATAGCAAGAATGGCTCTCATGGCTTCCGATCTGAATTGATTGTAGATGTTAAATGTAAATACTTTGTTTTGGTGAATTAAGATGGGCTATAGTAAATATTTTAGTTGCCTGACTACAACCTGTTGGGCAGGTCTTCTAACTACTGACGCATTGCGTATCTCTGTTCATTTTTTACTTGGACTTTTGGAATAGACAAGGCAAAATGGGAGTTACATCTAGATAGTTGGGAACACCTTTAATCGGAGACCGTAGGAGCAGACAGGCTTACCAGACCTGAATGTCTTTCTAACTGGGTTCCACCTGCAAACTTATCTGTTGATTTTATCAAAACCTTTCCCCATATCAAGGACGTTTAGTTGTTATGCATGTGGTTGGTACACCTTAACCAGACCTAGTGCTATGATGGGTACATTGGGTTTCGTATATTTGTACTCTTGCGTTATCTTGTCGTTTTCCCTCTCACTCACTCACTCACTCACTCACTCACTCACTCACTCACTCACTCACTCACTCACTCACAGCAACAAACGTAATAATAATAATAATAGCGAAGGTAGCAATGATAATAACCACAACAACAATGATAATAATAATAATAAAATAATATGGGTGCTTTTGAAACCCAACCTAGAAAAATGAAAGAGCGCATAGGGGAAATAGCGATTGAGAACAAAATTGTAGACCTTCGGAAAACTACCATCACTCTGTGAAGATTCTCCGAATAGTTCTTGAATTGTGAGGAATTGTGTCGACACCATTCCTCAGTAACAGAATTTTCATTGATTACAACAGTGTACGACACCATAATAATAATAATAATAATAATAATAATAATAATAAAAATAATAATAATAATTGGCATGTCTGTTTTCGAACTATAGTATTGATCCATGGTACAAACCCCACCCTAATGATGTCATAAATGGTGATGGAATGAGATATTGTGGAATTTCTCAATCCTCACAGACAGGAAAATTGATGCAAACAGACCAGACATAGTCATAAAAGATTTCAAAAGAGGAACCTGCCAACTAATTCATATGACTTGCCCACAGGATTCCATTGTTTCTAAAAAAAAGTATTTCAAAAATTGATAAATTATTTGGTGATTTTCTAATTTACGATTATCCCAGTTGTGGCAGAGGCATTGTGTTTGATAAGGAATAGTGTCAACAATCACGTGAGTACAATTCCTGGACACACAATCTCGGAGTTACAAAAGATTACTTTGGGCAGAACTGCACATATCCGCAAAAACTTCTCCATCTAAACGAAACGTCCGAAACGTGCGTAGATAACTCACTTACAGTGACCTTTTTACTCATAGACCCCAGTGAGACTTGGTAATTAGGCCTTTAGTGTTACTATCAGGGCAAGATGATACCACTACCACCACCAATAATAATAATAATAATAATAATAATAATATTCCTGGAAGTTCATGCCTCAAAAAGATACAAGAAATTGTTCTCACAAGTACAGCCCACACTTTACGAAGGGCTTTATCTATGTAATATTTTTTTTGTCAGTGGAAAGTGTCATGATACCATTTCTAACCTTAGGTCCCTGGGCGGGACTCGCAAAGAAATTTGTAAATGCCAGATATCAAAGGAAATAATAATAATAATAATAATAATAATAATAATAATAATAATAATAATAATAATAATATAATCAATAGGATAATTGCAAAGATCCATAATGTGATATGTTCTTAGCTGTCGACAATTGTAATTTTACCATAAATATTTTATAATGAATTTGTTTGAATAAAAACGTCGTTTGTTTATTCCATCATTCGATTTGAAAGAACGTTAAATGATAAATTTAATGGAATTGACTAAAATGTCTTTTCGTTTTTTTAATGAATTCCCACTTATTTTTAGCTCTCAAAGTAACCTTTACTCCAGAAATTATTGGTTAGATAATAAGTAATTGTCACATGCCTGCATTCGTACAATAATTAGTGAAATAAGGAATGGTAGTGTTAACTTCAGGAGACACGTCAGATCAGAAAATGGTTGCCTTTTATCTTATTAAATATATGATGCACGTAGTAAGTTTCTTTTTCTTTCATTTCTACGTCCAATGATAATTTTCAAGCAGTCGAGTTTAGTTACAATGTTATCTAAATTTAGATAGGGAACAAAATCGATCAAATCGTATGATTTTTAAGAGTCATGTGATTTTTACAGTCACGTGACTTTACTGTCAACTCGTCTAAAAACGTTTCACAACATAATTATAACAAAAAAATTAAATGAATAAATAAAAATGGTTAAAATATGATGTTTGTCTAAAAGTGCTTTTTATTACTTATGATTATTAATTATTATAAAGTGTTTATTATTATTTATTATTACTTATTATTATTAGTTGCTATAAAAGTGCTTATTATTACTTATTTTGGATAAATACTAAACAGAGGAAGAAAAAATAGGGACAAAACTAGTGTGAATTGGAAAATAAACGAAAATGATGAAGAACAAATAAGATAGAAAGAGGAAGAGGAGATAAAAACAAAAAAAAAAAAAAGAAAAGTATAGAAAGAGAAAGCAAGAGACCAAAAATAGAAAGAGAGGAGGGCAGAAAACATAAAAACGAAGCGGGAGAGAGAAAATATAGAAAGAGAGAGAAAAATGTGAGAAAAAGAGAGGGGAAGAGAAAAAGACATAGATATGGATAGAGAACGGGTGAGAATAAGAGAGAAGTGGTGGGATGAAAGAAACGTAGGAAGTAGAAAGTACTAAGAAAAACTAAGAAATAGAGGAGAAAGAGATAGAAATAAAAGGTCATAGAGAGAGAGAGAGAAAAAAAAGAAGAGAATATGGGAGGGAGAAGGCGATTGAAAGCAGAAGGTTAGCGAGCCTGAAGACGGAGATGAAGCGTGGACAGAAAGTGCATCCCATTGATCATTAATGATGCTTTCCAAGGACAATGCTAGCAGCTTGCTATTCTAAAATCGTCACAAACGAAATCAACACTTGTCATTCATATTCTACTAATGCGATTAGAACGGATTAACATTGAGTTAATAGCTATCCTAGTATTATCTAAGCAGCGTCTACTCTAAGTGATATAGATGAAAAGGAAGTTAGATATAGATGAATATATAAATGAAGAAGAAAAAGGAGAAAAAAAAGGAGGAGAAGAAGAAGAAGAAGAAGAATAAGAAGAAACCAAAACCAAAGATAAAAAGAACGACGCAAAGAAAAAAAAAAGAATTATATCTATGAGAGGATGTGTATGAGAATGTGTAAGCAGACAGGCAGACAGACAGATAGATACGAACAAATTACATAGATACGAATAGATTAAGATAGATATGAACACACACACACACACACACACACATATATATATATGAACAGAGATAGATATGAACAAATTAAGATATATATATATATATAGATAGACAGGCAAACAGATAGATAGATATCAACAGATTAAGTTATATATATATATATATATATATATATATATATATATATATAGAGAGAGAGAGAGAGAGAGAGAGAAATGAAGAGACTAGATAACTAGATAGAGAGATATGAACAGAGATAAATAGATAGGTAGATAGATATTAACAGGTGGAAATAGATAGATATGAACAGACTGAGATAGATAGATAGATAGATAGATAGATAGATAGATAGATAGATAGATAGATAGATATGAACAGAGATAAATAGATAGGTAGATAGGTATGAATAGATGGAAATATATATGAACAGACTGAGATAGATAGATATAGGATCGAATTAATTTATTGGAAATAAAGCGTTTGTAGATGTAGACAATATGTAAATATAAATCAAAACTGCATGGTGATTGTCGCTTTTATAAATCAAGGGGAGATCCCTTGATGCGTCATCATGCAACGTTGATTCCTGTGTCTACCCTGCATCTATCTATCTATCTATCTATCTAGGACAATATATAAATATATCTACGCAGAAAAGTTAGGAGAATATATAAACAACTTTCGATATTAACTAAGAATCAAAGAAAAAAAAAATATTAACGGATTTTTAAAAGCTCTCATTTTCAATCTTTTCTTTCATCACGTTGAACGGCAACTTAGTCGAAAAACTACCAATGGTTTATTATTTAAGCAAATATATATATATATATATATATATATATATATATATATATATATATATGAAAAAATATACAGAAAAAACAAACAAAAATTTTAATATGCAATTATGCTGTATTAATGTTAATATAAAGTCAACGTCGGACGTTTCGGTCTATTTTAGACCATCATCAGGACATATTCATAAAACATGATTAACATTAGAACATATAAAATTAATACATTAATACAGCATAATTGCATATTGAGATTTTTGTTTGTTTTTTCTGTATATTTTTCTTCATACTGTCGGATCTATATCCATATATTTGCTTACATATATATATATATATATATATATATATATATATATATATATAGGCTGGTTAATGAAATTTGAGAAATAAAAATACGAAAAATGATAACAATATTGGCAATAAGATTGATGATGTTTATTATATATTAGTAAGCCTTTTGACTAAACGGAAGTAGGAAGAGAAAGATTTAAAGCTGGAATTTTTGGACACGCCTATGTCCTTTTTGAACGAGATTATTCCTCAAATTTCATTAACCTGTCTATTAAGTCTACATATTATAAGAAGCACAAATGGACCATCTTTTGTTTAAATTACACACGCATGCACACACGTATGTGTGTGTGTGTGTGTGTGCATGCGTGTGTTTTCTTAATTTTATAAATTATGGGTGGAGTGATTGAAAATATTTGGTTTTTTGGTCAAGCCCCGTGGTCTATTCAATTTCTGACGAGGCAGATTTTTTTCCTCACAGTAGGTTGCCATTTCTTTCTGCAGTAGACAATAGCCATCCAAGGCTATAGAACCCGGTCAGTTTTACTATTTTTGCTATTTACCGGAGGCGGGGGGAGAAGACGAGATTCATATCTAGCCCAAGGGTATTAGCACATGAATGTAATGTATTCGACTTGAATTCGAACTCGGCTCTCCGATTCCTCAATCCGAATCGCTATCCATTACTCCATCGTGCCTATTATATATTAGTATGCCCTTTGACTAAACTGAAGCACGAAGAGAAAGATTTTAGTCAGAATTTTCGGACACAGCTGTGTCCTTTTTCAATGAGACGAGAAGTAAACAAAGAAGTGGGACTCACTCTTCCGGGGAATGTTTTTGGTTATTAAAGGATTGAACAGGGATCTGGGCTTACTCAGAGAATACAGCTTCCACAGGGAGCCCTATAAAATAAAACACGTCAACTTCGATCTTCAAAAATTTAAATGCAATGTCACTTGTTACCGTCTCTTCTTAATTGTTAATGTTTTATTTTCGTTTCGCTCTAATATATTTTCTCATATTCTCTAACATTCAGTAATCCCATGCGTCTTAGTGACTTTATTGCCTTGCTTGGGGTGAAATGATTAAAAAAAGCCACAGGTAGGGTTAAGAGATTCTGAAGAAACACTAATGGGACTGAGTAGATGGGCACGTTTGGAAACGAGCAGCGATGCGGAAGTGTTAATAAAAGCTCGTTAGATATACGAAATTATCACAACTATTTAATTCAGATTCTTTCTACAATATTAATAATTATCAAATGATCATCTGTCTTTAATCCCGAACAGGTAATGACGTAAGATTTGTATCCGATTAAGTCTTGAGTTTAGACACGAATTTATACCTTTAGCCTAGTATGCTACTAGTGTTAGTCATAGGTGTAGATGGTTTAACCTTGGAGTACCAAAAGACTAATCAGATAAAAATGGCGGATAATCATCTCTCTTCACCACTATTCGACTTATCTTTCTTCTCTCTCTCTCTCTCTCTCTCTCTCCCAGTAGGCCAACGCCTGCGTAATCCTTTTCAGTAGAGCGACTAAGTCATTAACACCCTTGAACGATTGATAACGAGGCCGACAAGATAGAGCCCGAGGGTGGAGTCCGAAGAGAGTGCGTTGATCAGCATAAGCTGACACGGTTGCTTTTCTACCATATGAAGTTCCGTAAGCAAAGATCGATCAGCTGAAATCCAGTAATCGATATCAAGGCTGTTTGAACCGCGTCGCCGTGTTGCCTGTCTGTCTAACCTGGGCTAAATCGTATCCACCCATTGCTATATGATCCCAAGCCCGTAATCCAGTCAAGAGGAAATAGGGATTATCTGCTTTGCGTAATCCAAAGATCTCGAGGGATATTTGAAGGCACCATGGACAGGTTAAAAGGGTGTATTATCTATATTGGTAAGATACGTCTATATTCTTGCGTATCGATAACTACTTATATATTTATCGCTGCAAATAGTAACCTGAAAACATAAACACGTGTGCATATATGCGCACGTGCATAAACAGATGCCAGTTTATATATACAGGGTGGGGAAATTTACAAAGAAAGTTTAGTTACTTTTTCTCAGCAAGTAGTACGCCATTTTTTTTTGTTGTTGAAAACCTACCATATATTGATACCGCAGCCATATTTAATATTATTGTTTATATCTTTTCAGATACCTTTACCCATATGAGTAACCAGGAAAGCAAAACGTGAAGGAATCTGTTATTTTCTAAATGCACTTGTTACTCGAAAGGTGAAATGCGCAAGTTTCAGGAGGCGTGTGGAAACAGTTATTGAGAGAAAAAAAAAAGGAAGACACATAGAATAAAAATAGTTTCTAGTATGCAAATTTTTTTGTGGAAAATAAATTCCTTCAAGTTTCAATAAACTATTTGGTCATTTAAGGTCTTTGAATTCCTGTCTCGAAATACCGTAAATTTTGCTTCTCCAACCTGTAAATACCTCATAAATAATTGTCTATTCCGTTTTGAGCGCGTGGAAGGCAGAAAAAGACAAGAGACACTATTTGGTTTCGGTGACAAAATGAAAAGAAAGACAGAAATATAAAAAAGAAAGAAAGGAAGGAAGATAGAAGTGTCTAATGTCTCCTGACAATGCCTCATAAATAAAGAACAATTCCATTTTGACCGCGTGGAAAGACAGAAAAGACAAAACAGAGACGCTACTTCGTGTCGGTGAGAAAATGAAAGTAAAATAGAAATAAAAAAGAAAGAATGAATGAAAGAGAGAAAGAAAGAAAGAAACAAACAAACAAAGAAGTGATTGACGTCTCCTGCCAATACTTCATAAATAATGGACTATTCAATTTTGATTGTGCGGAAAGAGAGAGGAAAGACATGACTAGGTTTCAGTAAGAAAATGAAAGAAAGAAAGAAAGTGTTTAACGGTTGTTTAAGTAAAATGGGAAAGTTGTCAATTTCAAATCTTTTCATTTGTACCCACTTCTTAAAATAATGACCAGCATTCATATTTATGATTGTTATTGCAATGTTTTGTTAAAGTTCTTAAGCTCAAATATTTAACGATGCGATTGGGGAATGAGCTTATTTAATCATTAACTTAAGAATGAAAATTCATCAAAAAAATTCAAATAAGAAAACCGTAAAATTGTCACGAGTCCTTCTAGCATATATAAACTAAGTGTGAGATTTTATTATTCAAATTGATGCTTTTACAGTAAATTTGGTAAAAGCTAAATGATGACTGTAATTGTTTTCAGGATATACTTATCATGATGAAAGTACATGTGATTTTCAGTTGAAAATATTTGTGTTTATTAGAAATATTTATAATTGCTTATTTGTTCGTGTGGGATTTCATTATGCAACACAAGCGTTGTTCAGCATATTATATATATATATATATATATATTAGGATATTATGCAGAAAACATGTAAAAATCGCTATACAATTGCAGTCGTGTTCAATGCGTATCAATGCATCTCATCAGGCGATTGTAAATTACGGTAATTTACAATTGCCTGATGAGATGCATTGATACACATTGAAATACGGCTGCAATTATATAGCGATTTTTACAAGTTTTCGATGTAAAATAAATAATATTCTACTCTGTATTGAGCCCTCTTTTAAATCAAATATTACGAATGTTGGAATTATACTCTATTCGTTCTCACTGTACCTATATATATATATATATATATATATATATATATATATATATATAATATAGGTCATTAACGCCTATCAAAATACGTAAAAATGACTAGAATTTAACGTATTTTAAAGTTAGTAGAATTTTGTGAAGAAAAAGCGAAACTACCTCGCTAGAGGTAGTTTCGCACAACACCGCAAGTTGCTACAAAGCCAAAACATTAACATGTAAACTCTAGTCAGTGTCGAAAGAGTGATAACAGTTAATGGATTTCAGGAAGCTATTTTCTTGAAAAAAAAATGGCTTAACAGAAAGATAGTATAAATTTCAACCGAAAGTAGCCCTCACGGTTCGGTCTGTGAATGTCGAATATTTCTTATAAGGAAACGTTTAATATTACCATTGCTATTAATATCGGGAATAGATAGTTTGTAGATATAAACTACGCACATAGAGATCAAAACTGTTTATCTATCTATCTATCTATCTATCTATCTATATATATATATATATATATATATATATATATATATAAGGAAAATTTTTGTTGATAACATGATGATCCTTCATAAATCACGTAACCGGAAATATCTCGCTTTAATAGACGTACTCTACATAAAACATCTGGCACTCAGTATAAATCTCACTTTCTTTAACAACGGTCATAATGAGCTAAAGTTTTTTTTTTTTTTAATAAAAGAACACCCGCTTGAATTGCAGTCACGTTCCTTTCGTGGGGTTCGAAATACACAACATAACAGACAGCCATGAAAAGAAATTAATAACTCCTTGAAAATAGTTAAAAAATAGTTAAAAAAAAAATAGACGCTACGGACAATTTTTACACTCCCTTACCCCCACCAAACTCAATAAAAAATTCATCAAATTCTCTTTGTCTGTCATATTCAAAGAAGCATGTTTGGAAGAAAGGTTGTTGCCAATATATATATATATATATATATAAACATACATTGTTAAATATAACAGACAATGAATGTCTATTATGTCTGATCATGAGCCGTTCTATAGTTAGTATGTTTGGTTTAATTTTGGGTGAAAATAAAGACAAAAATTGTCCAACATTATTTTTTATTAGGCTGTTCCTTGATTTACGGATCACATGAGTCATCTTTGGAGTGGTTATACGGACATTTTAACAAAGATATTCAGCATCAAAGATAATACTTTGTTATGTTGACATAGAATATTGCTATGCGACGATAACGGTCGCGGAATAGCAGACGCAGGTCGTAATTTCAAGATGCGGTCCTATAACATCATACCTACGCGAGAGGCCGAAATATTAGCAATAGAAGCATATGTCTAGATGCAATGTAACGTGTTGTGGCTAGTTTGAAATGTAATTTTGTTGAGTGTGGTTTGCTTTGTTTTAATGTAGATGGCCTCCAATGTATTTATATATACTATAATTATGTATATTATAAATATTATATGTATGTATATTATGAATGAAATAGTTTTGTTTATATAATGTATTTTTAAAGAGCTTATATTTGAATGATGAATCGATTTCATTAATAACATGTAGCTTGCAGTTTCAGTCATCAATTCCTTGCTTTATTAACAGACGTGCATTTTAATTTTTAAGTTTGATAGTATTTTTTTTTATTTTAGTGAACGAAAAAAGATTATAAAGATAGAATTTAATGTATTTTGTAAAATTTTTCCAAACTTAATAATGGTTTAGAAAGAATAGCTTTTTACAAAAAATATCAACAAAACGAAAATTTCTTTCGCAGAAAAAAAGTTAAGGACAATTATGAAACTTTTATACAATGAATCTTGTTCCTCATATTCGAACTAATCAATTCAGTTTATTAAAATACTTTTCAGAAAACTAAAAAAAAAAAAAAAAAAAAAAATCATCAACAGCTTCATAAAATCAAAATATTTCGATAAGTATCCTTTTTTCTTAAGTTAATTATTTTCTTTCAGTTTTGGAGACTTGGCTTATTAACCTTGCGTTAGTCATCTTGGATTTCCGAAAATGGATAACCCCCAGGCGTCTGCCTCCAATGACAATTAAGTTACAACTGCGCCACACCGCGTGCTATACACAGTGTGCTACTCACCGCGTGCTATATACCGCGTGCTACACACCGCGTACTGCACACCCTCACTGAATCAGGAGAATAGTGGGAAGGAGCAAAATTAACAAGTTGACAAATAGAAATACGAGTACTTTAAACACCCCATGTGATTAATGCAGCGTTAATAATCAGAAAGTTGTATCAATTCAAAATATTAAGATTATCATTTGTAACCGAAACGTTTTCTATAAATATTTGGCTAGCTTAAAATAAGTAGGAGATTTAATGGAACCAAAACATCACTGTTAGATTTTAAATTGAATTGAACTCCTTATTTTTACGTTTGAAAAAAAAAATACGCAGTATTAAAAATACATATTTAAATTCATCATTTTTTTTCAACTGCTTTGTAAAATTATTAAACAGCGATCATATAAATAAAATTTCATTCGTTCCATTTGTTATAATGTTTACTGTCTTTGCAAAGTTTTATCACAATTTAATAAATTGGCCTCCCTGTGCCTTTTCTATAAGTACTTTCACGGTAATTGTCCGGATAAACTTTTCGCTAGGGTACCTAGACTTTATGAATTTAAGCGCAGTACTAGTTTACATTTGAGTTGGCTAGATGTAACCGTAAGTTCTATGCTAACAGGTTCTTTTCTCGCACCTCTCGCTTGTAGAACTCTCTTCCGGTTTCTTGCTTTCCAGTTAACTTCAATCTTCAATAATTTAAATGCAATGTTAATCGCCATCTACCGTCCTCCTGATTACTTTTCCTTTATTCCCGCTCCGTAGTAATGTTTCTGTTTTCTAACTGCACACCCAGTAATCCCTTATGTCTTAGTCGCTTTATTGCCTTGCTTGGGGTGAATTCGATTAAAGAAATAGATCGGCATTATGGGATTTAATATTTGAATTAGTTTTCTATTTTGTATATAAGAAAAAAAAAATAGAATACAATAATACCAAATG